CCCCACAGTCTCTGAGAATGACCTCAAAGTCATATACTTATTGCGTGAAAACTTCACGCATTGCTGAAAAAAACAGCTCATGTACATTTCTGTGCATAGATAATTTTTCGACGGAATTGGATGTGTAACAACGCTACACACGTTCCCTTCTACTGTCTCGGCTAAAGGCATTGTTTTTAATCGTTTGCTAATCACGAGCTAATTCTGTTGGAGTATCGAATTTTGGAGCAATACTTATCCCTTGTTCGCTTCATTTACTAACTATAGCCAAGGTTTAAGCTATTGATTCTACAGTATATACAACTCAGCAATCTATTTTTAAATCATATCTAATGATTACAACGTATAATACCTACCATGTAAACGTGTAATTTTGATGAAATTTAATGTGAAAGAAATTCTCAAGCAAGTACTTATCTTTTGTGTTTATTTTTATTCCTGCAACACTTTTGTTTAAAAACGCCATCACAGCTGAAAGTTATGGTTGTTCGGATACATGTTCAATCTTTTGTAAAAATGAATGACGAGTTTCTTATTTTAAAAAAATATTTCTTTTATTATCTATTGTCCATTCTGGTCCCCCACCTTTTGCTATGCTTCTGGCAGTAGCATGATTCCATGCTCATAAAATGCATGCTTTTTTCTGAAACGAAAGATCCAGAGTGTTTTGGACCTCCTCGTTTGAATTGATGGTCTTGCCGTATAAAACATTTTGTACATACGGAAATAAAGAGTAACCAGAGGTTGACAGACCTGAAGAATATGGTGAGTGTGGCATTATATCCCATCCGTTGCAAATGCTTTCGGCGAGTTGACAAACTTGCATGAGGTCTCGCATTTGCTTGGTGGAACACCACACCATTTCGCTCGGTTGTTTCTAGTCTTTCTTATTTAGATGAAACAATCTCTTTGTTCAGATACTGAAAGTAAACTCCAGAATCGATCGTTGTGTTGTCCTGTATAAGCTCAAAAAACGATTCCATTGAACTGCCCCAATAGATAGCATGACCGATTTTTAGTGAATATCGGTCCATCTTTTTTACTTCACGATCTCTTGCGTTTAACATTGTTGTAGACAACCCATTTCTCGTCCCCAGTGATGATGCCCATCAAAAATGAATCATTTTCTTGACGTTCGAGAAGCAAATCACAGATATCAACGCAAAGGCACAAATTTCTTTCCGTAAAAACACGAGGAACCCAGATGTCGTTCTTTGCAATTAAACCTAAGCTGTTCAAATGATCTTGAACAATTGAATTAGAAAAATTAATACTCAGCAATCCAACAAACTGTTATTCGCCAGTTTGTCAACTAATGTCTTTATTTTTCTTCATGAACTTCAACTGGACTTCCAGAACATGGCGTACCTTCAACATAAAAATTGCCAAATCACATTTCGAAAATCAGTTTTGGCCCTAGCGTTTTTCAATAGATCTACTCCACACACAACCGATACTTCTTTTCCTGCTTAAACAGCATTTTTACCTTATCGATAGCAACAATGTAAAATATACCGAAAACGCTGCTTTCCACTTCTCATATTTGAAATGACACCAACCAAAATCAAATTCGTAGAATCAATAGAACTTGTTCATAAGCATGCCTTGCTATAACATCTGTCGAAATATATACTGTTGATGCGGTTAATGTGTGAACCTGACTGAAAAAATAAAAAATGATATTCCGTTCCGAACAACCTAATAGTTCCGTGTTAGCGCCCCGACTGTAGATGATATCGAACAAGTGCATCCCGCCTCTAGTAGGGCAAGTGGATCGGTAATCAAATGCTCATTACTGGGTGATTCCTGGTTATCGTTACCATACTATGATCAAGTGTCTTGTTGTTAAGTATATTTTAACGATGACACTGAGCTCAGTCAGAGCTTCATGCACTCTAGACTCTGTACAGTGACCAGATCTCATCACGAGGACTACTTTCCACTTTACCGAGGATTCTACGTTTATAATAATATTCCCCATTCCCATTGTTTTCAAACGAGGGAAAGTAGAAGCACTACTACAATTAGGCTTGTGCAACTGTCTGGAGGACCAAATAGTGCTGCTGAAGGAATACAATAAAATAACCTGATTCTACCTTCGTTTAAAAGCTAGCCATGCGTTTTGTCTTCCAACGGTCGTCGTTCAGAGTAGGTCATCCTTCTACGTTTGACAGTTCCAAATATCTGATGCATCAACTTCTTACCTAGCTTCAACTATATGCTTACATTTTATTTCATTTTGTCATCCTTCATATCCAAGCCAATTTTAGCGTTCAGTTTGTTTCCAACGCAGGATGCTAAGGGCATTTAAATGGTAATCATTGTTATACCTGGAATTCCTTATTGCTTTTAATTTTGTTTGCTAAAATATTTGAGCACACTTGAAGTTTTCTACAGCCATTGTGATATGCGACAAATTCGTTTGGGACATACGCAACTAGTGAAAATCTTGCGACGTATCAGTAAAACCTGTCAATCTATGGGTATTATATTTCTGATAAACTATTCCTAAACCTTCGAGAGCAATCCAAATTCTTCCTCCACATTTCAAGCTTCAGCTGTTCTCAACAACCGCCGATGTGTATGCACGTGTTGGTTCTACAGACCTATCATTGTATAATTAAATATTATCTTTAGCTCTGATTGATTGTTGTTTGTGCCACGTTTGATGGGTATTATAGTCAACTTAAATGTATGTTTTCAGTGTAGTTCAGAATTTGTCCAACAGGTGGGTTTACCTGTTTATGAAATGAGCTAAATTCCAACTAATAAATACTAAACTATGGATACTCATTTCTCATGCAGTAGCCGCGTTACTGCACTTGAACATTTGGCTAAATCCAGTGATAAAATATTCTAGGTGTGGAAGTCAGAAGCTAGTTAGCAAACAAGCTTGTTTTGAGTGGCTCCTCACCAGGCTTTTACACCACAAATGAATGACACGACAGTAAACTTTAGACAAGAGTAAAGGTTAAATGACCTAGACGGTCTGGGTGATCAATCCAGATGATTGGCCCCAAAGCAATTAAAGACCTGCTCGTGTGTGTGGTGTTGTCCAGCCTATGAGTAAATTGAGTGCTTGGACAATTCTGCGCACATACTTCAAGGCCATGAAGCCGGATAGCGGTCGCTTCTGCCGTCGCCAGTGGACGACACCTAACATCTCAGGTGTGCCAACTGTATATGCGGTAGATGATCTGAAACGCCTCGTGCGGTTTGACTTGATGGTTCGATAGACAATGTGTGCAGAAACTGCGCTTGTCGCTAATCTCGTCATATTGCTATACATCCATGCTGGACAATGCTCCTTGGTTTTCTATGGTAGCCTCCCAGTGGTTCTTCCGCTACAGCGCTACAGCCGCTAAATTGAGTACGTGCATTAACTGTTCGTCGAAATAGGGACAAGGAAAGCGCTTGAAGAACAACGTGTGTGTGAAATTATGCTACAAACTTGACAAAATTATAGAGATATTGCACTTGCTTAACCAAGTATATAAGCAGGACTGTTCGAGTCGCACTTATAGCTGTAACTGGTTTAAGTGTTTTGAACAAGGCAGAATGTCGGTCAGTGACAAGCCTAAGCCTGGACTACTTTCTACATAAACAGTTGATTACATGTTGACAGAGTTCCTGCTGTGCTCTGTGGAAACCTTCTTTTAACTGTTCAAAGTGTTGCTGAGGAAGTGGGCATCAACGTAGGAACATGGCATCAAATTCTAGCGCGTTTGAGGTATGCTTTGAACAGGAAGAAGCTTGAACTGGGAGAAAACCAGACCGAGTTGTTGCATCCTGACAATGCGTCGGTTCACGCATTGCTCTTTTTCTGCAGCTATCCAGCAAAACACCACACTGCTGTTGTGTTCCATCCACCGTATTCTCCGGACCTAGCCACTGCAGACATGTTCCTATTTCTTAATCATAAAAGCACCTTTTATCCGAGGCCGTTTACAAACCATAGAGAAGATACAGGACAATGCGACAAGAGACTTGGGCGGCCTCCCAGAAAGTGAGTTCCAGGGGTTTACCAAAAATAGAAACACCGTTGAGAACAGCGTATTGCCAGTAGATGGGACTACTTTGAGGTGGAAAGTGCCTAAATGCTGTGCAATTAGCAATAAAGGTGTTATAGTAAAAGTTCGATTTCTTTTTGAACACCCCTCGTATAATTGTTTTTTATTGGCTCACGGTGTCCATCTTTAATAGCTGTCCCAGCTGAACATGTTTTTACTTTCAATCCACATTTACACTACTGGTATTCAGCAACGCATTTGCGCGATCAGCGCGCAACCAGACAAGGCTCATTTCTTTTGATATTGAAGTTTAACCCGTACCACTCTGCGGGACTTTTCAATCAACTGCATTTTTATCCTTGAGAAATCACGCTTTATTCCGCTACCCGCCCCTTGAACGGTAGCGATAAGCAAACAGATTTCTTTCCTATTGAAACTGACTTTTCCTTTGTTCGTTGAGACTCTATATTTTTCCGAACAAGGTTCTCTCGGTAGCGGGTTCTCTCGAATAAACTTCCTAGGGCCTTCAAATCGTCCAGCAGCGTGTTGGCGCTACGTAACTGTCTTGTTCACTCTGTGAGGCATCAAACGAATTTCGTTGCTGGCTAAGTGAAAGGAAGCTAGCAAACTGAATATATTATCCGTTCCATGTCGTTTTCCATGAACACTTCGCTTGATGTTTGCTCTCATCTCATTTAGTTGTGGTGTTATAACTTGATGAGGAACCACTAAAAACAAGATTGTTCGATAACTTTCGTTTCTGGCTTAAACAATTGTATAGCTCTCAGCTGCTTATACATCCAACCTGTCAATCAATTCGTTTGGGATCCATTTGCTAAAAACGCAAATAATTATCTATTTTATACGACTTCGCTGTATACACAGACCAAATCACTAAGGTGGACTGTGCCTAACACAGTCGAGGAATATAGGTTTATTTTTTAATTTGTAAAGAGCTAAAGATTGCTTTTGTCTTACAACATGAGGCAACTTGTATTCTAATGGATGATTAACTAAGCGAATGTTGTCTAAATAATCCCAGATACCGAGGATTCTTATCGTCAGTACAAGTTGCCCGTTGGATAAATATTTGCCGAAGCTCCACATTCAACATATCCAGAAATGGCTCTCATAAGAAAATCGTTGTTCAACAATGAAAAGGAGTGATAAAACAGTGGGGCGAGGGAACCAAGAGGACAGTTACGCGGGTTTGGAGGTAGAATGAAAGATTCGATACAGTAAGCATAACATCTACCTACAAAGGGCGAAATCCGCCATCAATTTTGGATGCAGGAGGTAGACGTGACGTTATGAGACGGAGTGTAGCACATAACGGATCCATACTTTCGTAACACATCCTGTTCTATGTACAGTACGCCAACGGCAATGGCAAGGAGCTGGCGAAGAGGCGATGATTTATCTGGAGACCAGACAGGAGCACTGATCGAAGGACAAATTATACGCACATTGCATCAGGGAGCCTGATGTCGAAAGTGAGGATCTGCGATGAAAACAATTCCAAATTCTAGCTTCTGTGGTCCGGTAAAAATATTTACACGACGCCAGTGACTGGTTGCACAAAGGAATGAGCACATTGCAGATAACATGCTCTAGTTATATCGAAGGTAGTTCATGAGTGGATTCGCTGATATGTGTTTCAGTAGGCAAGTGACCAAGATCCGGCGTGCAAACAATATCGGCCTAATTAGAGGCTTTAACCGGTATTTCCATCAATCTTGTGATTCATCAGCAGATTCATCCGCTTCACCTGCAGTCCTCGATAATTCTTGTTGGCTTAACTCTGTGTAGTAGCTAAGCTGTTCATGTGCCGGTTGAACTATGGCTTCCTATGATAAAAATGAAAACGGAAATAATTAATGAATGTTTTTAAGAAAATTCGACTCATGTTCCTTCGAAATGTAGTGCATTGGAGCAATATTGTCTCAAAACTACCAGTTAAAATTTTGATAGTTATAAAGATATACTTCCATATTATGGCTAATCCTAGTTATAACATGTTGTGAATCTCGAAAATCCACATGATGCCTAGATAGAAGGGGCGTTGGACAAAAATAATAAATCCTTATCAACGTACTTTCAATGGGGGGAAAAGTTTAGCAAAAGCTTCAAACAAAGGGAGGATGACGAAGCGAATGAAACCACATTGACTGGCAGCTTTGGTAACCTTTTCCCGATCCATGAAAGGGGCAACGGGTAATCCAACGAGCTTCTCATAGTCGCTCTGTTTAAGGTTCAAAATTAAAACGCAGTATCAAGACTAATATAAAAGTACAGTGTTCAGTTCTTACTCGATGCAAATGGAAACAAGGTATTTGTCTCGAATTCAGGAAATGATTGACTAACACTCTTACTTTCTGGTGTCCTGAGCAGGCAGAATACAGGCATGAAGTCACTTGGTTAAGAACAATTTACAGATAAATTGTTGGAGAGTGCTTGAGCAAACTCAGCTTCTTCCACCCGTTCAACCACTGCGCAATTTTCCATAGACCAGTGGGTTAAACGGCGGTGCATTCTGCACATGTATACAAGACTTTTCTGTGGGTTCATCAACAAGTCTTTATTTGCACTGGGTGTGTTTTCTGATGGATAGGCTAGATTTTATTAATTGCTTACCTCAACGACACGGAGCATAAATCTACCATGTCGCCAAACATACCCCTCCCTAATCACTGATTGTATTGTGCAACGATACATCTAGAACTAGGACTGCTAACAGTGGCCTTACTCTAAGGCGTTCAAATGCTTTTAGACCCAGGACTTAGCAAGTGATTTCAGAAGTTATAAATATAACGGATCGCATTTGCCACCAAGGCAACATCCGCTTTTCGTTCGCAGGTCCAATCTACGAATGTTCTGCTCATCACCACCAATCATTTTGGTGCGGATCGCTCCAATGTGTTGGTAGAAACCTGCACATAATAATATTTGAAGTACTTTCTGGAGTTACATTACAAACTGAGTGAGTTCGTTGTGTATAGACGGATTACAACTTAATATTTCTCGCGTTGTGGAGAGGTTGCACGTTTTCCTTTTCATCACAATTTTCCGCATAAAACCATTGTAGTGCTGTTAGGTGCTCTGTCGGTATTGTCATTCCGATAATAATGACGGCCTACGTGAGTACCCACTTGGAAAAAAGCAACTTAGGCCTGTCAGCTTTATCGGAAGCGTGATCTGACTCCAATAGTGAACTCAGGGGGAACGGAAACTAGGAATCTTCCATTTCGCCCTCCGGCTTTAAATGAAAACTAAAGCGGCAGACGGTCAACGGCATCAGCATCCACTGGTAGACCTCATTTTTATTTACCAGCATTCGCAGGACCTCAGAGGGGACCAGCGCTGTTGCCTAAACACAAAACCGAACTTCGGAGCCCTCAGCCTATGAAAACTGTGCAATACAGTCAAGTGAATGGTTAGCGGATGATTTACCTTGAGTTTATCAGCCGTGGAAAGTTCTACTAATGCGCCTACATTATCCACATTTAAGTTATGAATTGATAGTGAATTAGGCCATTTGTATTCTCTGTTCCTCACTGGCTTTGACCTAAAATCGACGTAGGTGGATTTCGATTTGTGCCTGTGCGAATAACGTGGTGAGTCCGAGATCGTATGGTCTATTTTTGATAACATTTATTTTCCAACAGCCGACTTTTACCCGAATCATACGGAGGAACCTGTTAGTTCTTTATGTCTTTACTCCTAATTATCTGTTATCATACTGTTTCAAAGGAGTGAACCTAAGTGTAGCGTAGCCGTTTAGATGATTGTTTGTTTTCGGTTCTACTCCGACCGGGTGTTGGCTAGCTGAACAGCACCCCTGTGGTGTCAGCCGGGTGGTTCGGGTTTACCCCGTTCCAGTAAATAGTTCGGCGGAAGTGTTCCAGGACGTAGTGCGTTTTCACCTGACAAGCGTTCCTTCTATAAAAAGGCACAAACATCCGTTTAACAACACTGTGAGGTGGCGGATGTGACTCGCCGCTAACAGTTCCTTACGTATCCAGATGATCTAACCCAATCCATGAACGTCAGTCATCCAGTGCGAATATATGATTTTAGCCCTACTCACGCTGACGACCTGAGAGAAATCAGGTACATATACGGTGTCACATTTACGAATTCAAGCAACACAACCATATACACCTACCTACATGCATGCATATCCACGTAACACATGGACCCAAAGGCTATTTATAAACTTGTGAAGATTTCACATTTACCAGTCCTTGTTGTATCACCATGAACATGCCTATACAGGTGTGTCGCACTATCGAGAATAAAACATTTAGTTATTTATTTATTTATTAGAGACCAGCTCATTTATATGAGTGGCTAGGGTGTGTGCAGTGCTGAATTGATGGTCAGTTACAAACAAAGAATAGACTACTGTTTACATGTGGAAAAGCTTATTCATAATTTTACGGAGTGTTAGCATCTACCATTGCCTTTTCACTGGAACCTAACTCTAACTTGGCAAGTGTGTCCCAGCCCTTTCGTCACCAATCAAGGTGACATCGTCAGCGCGTTGTTGGGTAGCTTGTAGTAAGTAAAAGTAGCGTAGGAAAACCTTGATGGGAGTAATTTGGAGTAAACTCCTGAGGGGCGCCCCATCGTCGAGTGGGTGTTTGTTACGATGCTTTACATCATGCCACTGAGCACTATAAAGTTTTACTCGTGAAGCAAACGGTGTCACTTGAAGACATCACAAACACTGCTGAAATCAGGGTTATTCCTTATCTTTGCACTATGGAACCTCCGCAGTCAGATTAGATGGCTGTCTATTTGCTGACCACCAGGCAATACGTGATCTAAATGCGAACTGCTCGAACTCTCGTGACTATGTTGAACACATGGAAAAAGGCCCAGCATATGCTGGGGCTCTACAAGGCAATGACATTAACGAGTCCTAGACACACTTTATATAGCATTTGCTCGGTAACTCCTAAATTGCCGCCTATTATGATAAGCAATAGTTATTCTTCAGTAACCTTTGTAAAATGGATGAGTCAGGCAGGTGGTTTAGCATCCGATCAGTAAACTACTTGAGGGTTCTCCCGGCTTTAACTGCTGTAACCGCTGTTGACTGCCAAGGCCGGATTATCAATTTTTGTTAAAAGAAAACAAATTCTAGGTGTATTTTTCCAAATCTTACAAGATATCAAGTTGAACATTTTGTTTCAGCCTATACAAGGACAGCCAATTACTATCCGTTGCGGACTAGCCCTTAGTCGATCACTTTATCGACAGCTCGTAGTATCACTCGCTGCAACTCCATTATCTTCGTGTGCGTGTGCACACAGAACAGTTTACCATTGCGCAGTTTGAAGATTTTGAACCGAATCTTGAGAAGTATCTTAATGCCGAAATTCTTAGACATCAGTAATCTGATGACGAATTATGGGAACAGTTGCCTAACCGTTTCGAGTAATGTGTCTATGTGCACACAGCATTTACTAGCCGCCTTTCATATTTACCTACGCTCGTCTAAAATTCCAGAGATAGAGATATGCCAAATGTCTCTAACTCTCACATCATAGCAATGAAAGAAGTGATATTGTAATTGTAATGTTTTCATCCCAGCTGTTCACAATCTACATAACACAGCCTAGTCCGAAAAAGCACCAAAAGCATTTTGCCCTTTTAAGGCTAGTCAGTGGTGCGCATTCCCTCGTTCCCCTAACGTGGGTCGAACCCATGACCGCTAGAGGCAGTTGCCAACTAGCCAGCAGCATATGCCACTTAGCCAAAGGGGACGTCGGCTGTGTTACACAATTTGCAAGTTAACTGGGATATAGCACGACCTACCTTCTACTGCCACGCAGGTTACTACCTTGAAAGTTGAGAGTGGCCAGCCTCCGAAGGTCATGACTTCCTCTCACTAGACAGTACTTCCCTAACATTTGAAACTAGGACAGGATATATTTTATATTACTAATGAGTAGGAGGATTTTAATTGTAATCGTAATGTTTTCGTCCCAGCTGTTCACATGCGACATAGCACAGCTTAGTCCAGGAAAGCACCAGACGCCTTTTGCCCTATTGGGATTCCTCAGCGGTGTTCATTCTCTTGGTCCCCTTGGCTCAGTGGCTTAAGCTGCTGGCCAGTTGACACCTGCCTCTAGCAGTCATGGATTCGATTCCCGTTAGGGGAAATAGGGAATGCGCACCACTGACGAGCCCCAATAGGGCGAAACGCGCCTGGTGCGTTGCCGGACAAGGCTATGTTAGGTAGCTTGTGAGCAACTGGGACGAAAACATTAAAATTAAAATTTCACCTACTCATTAGTATTAATATTGTTACTTCTGTCTCCTCTAACTATGAATCCACTGAACAATTGACCGTTCTGTTCCCTGTATCTACTCTTCCCATAGGATCTTTATACAAGTGGAGTAAAACATGTACGGTTTAATTATTTGGTCGATTAACGGCTTATTCCACCTTCTGGAAAAGGGGATCATCGGCTCAGCACTCCCTATGAGAATCATAACATGGACCCTACTAACATCCATCCATTGACTATCCCACAGCCTCAAACGAACACGAACACATTGGGCAGCTTAATGGATTAATGGATTTACCACGGATAAATGAGCAAAGCTTAACAAGTCCCGCAGGTAAAGAGTTAAAACAGGATGTGAATATAGTAACAAAAATCAAAGCAACGCATGTCAGTTTATCCACAGAATTTCACTGTGTACCTAGTTTGGTTATGTCATTATGTGTCTCAGTACCATTGGCTAAGCCTTGTAGTGCATACGATGCAATGTTTCAGCAAGTTAAGGCATGTATGCAGTCAATGTACAGCGGAGTTGATCGAAATTGGTATAGTGCTCCACCGCTGGGAAGCACGAAGTGCGAAAAAATACCCTGCCAAATACCAGCCGGCTGTAATGTGTGGCTAACTTCAAGTGATGGCCTCAGCGTGAGGTTTCTTGACTTACTTTCAAAAAGTGTCGATATCTGCGTTTTGGAGTCTTAAGGATCCGAAACACCAAAATAAGACCACAGAAAATTCCTAGGGCTTGTAGTCTCTGCTGGTAATGGAGATGAGCCATGCCCTTAACATTTTTGTTCCCCTTATCTGTGAAGTCTCAAGAGCAAGAAGATCGTGATTTTGCCAGTGTTGCCGGAACTGGATGGCGCAATCTACCATTGGCCTAAGGTAAGCGTCGAGCATTTGTGAAAACTTGGTGGGAGAAAACCGCTTAATGATTCCTCGCAAGTGA